AGCTCACTCGACTACCTACCTCCCCTCAAAGAGTACGTTAAGCTTTTGGGGGAGTGACAAAAGGATACATCAAAATACTGTACATTCATACTACTATTTACATAATTGCCATTGGCATACCCCCCTTACAAAAAGAGTACAAGGACCCAACCCAAGACACTTAGATGGCGTGCTGATGGTGGCTGAACCGTCACAAATGGGCAATAGAATGAAACATATCAATATAAATATGCCCATTGCTTAACAACTTGGATTGAATGAGCAATATTCAGCTGTGTCATGATGAGATATATTAAATTGCACGCTAATCTTCTAAAACTAGTGGCATCTGGCATCAGGAAGGATCACCATCTTGCTTAGATTATTTAACAGTGACCTCGATGGATTTATTAACTTACTTACCATCAGTACGATTATCCAACTTGATTAAAGTCAGTTATATCTTCAACAGTTCACCAAGTACCATGTGGTGTCTGAATAACCTCCAAACCAAGAAAGTAAGTCAGTGGCTCCGAGACACAGAAGGAAAGGTGTTAGCTTTGTTTTCAGGACCCTTGGCAGATGGTAATGCATTGACAGCTGAGATCATGGGCTACTCTATGGTTTAAAATTTGCTAAGCAATTTGGTTTCCACAACTTGGAGGTAGAAGGGGATTCTCAGATGGTCATTTCTTAGACAAAATGCAACTCTCAAATCCCGTGGATCTACAGAGATACTTTTTGGGAAATAGAAAGCATAACAAGGGAGCTGAATGTTGTCTTTAAATGGGTAAGAAGAACAGCAAATGGGATGGCAGATGGTCTGGTTAAACAAGGGACAGCTAGGCACCAAATGTTTTGGGCAACATTACAAATTATTTATCAGCCTGTGGGATGGGGAAATCTTCCCCATTATTGTAATACCTCAATTTGATTTTAATAGATTTATTGACAAAAAAAATGAATAATGAAGAAGAGCTTTCAACTAAGTAATGTTATCATGATCATCCTCAATAATCAACTGTCATCAACAAATAGTAATAGGAAGGTGTAACTTTTAGAGCTTCAGTGGATAAATAAAGAATTATCATGTTGGTGCTACACATATCCTGAATCAAGGATAACTTGTCAAAATTGTTCAAACCAGGAAACGGGTGCTTGTTTCACTCCATAATGTGATTTCAATTTGCAGACCATTGACTTTCTGGTAGAATAACTAAGTGCATACTTTGTATGGACTCTCTTTCAAATTTCCATGAAGAAAAGCATTTGACATCCATCTAAAAGATGGTCACTTTCAAATTGTAGAGATGGCAAGAGAAAAACACACTATGGTCATTTAAGCAACAAGAGCAAATGTTTCTTCATAATCTACCCCAAACTCTTGTTTGAAGCCCTATGCAACAAACCGTGACTTACTTCCAACCACCAAAGTATTTGAAGAAATTGAGGCAAGATCTCAAGTATCATTCTTGATGAGTGCTTGGTGTCTATAGCTTCTTCAGAATACTGAATTGCTAGAGCTGATTTCCAGGCGTCAACACTCCATACAGAAACTCCAAAAATCCTTTAAAAATCAGGTAATTTAGGATCTATTTATGAACCTCCTCTCAATATATTTTACTATCCCAGATCTCAATGGGCTTTAACCAATAAGAAGAAGAAAATTTTGGTCATGTACACATTATCAACACTCAAACTGTAGCTTTTATATGTAAAGCAATCTAAGAAAAACTTAGTGAAAAAGGAAATAAAGAAAATAATAAATTGTGACACTATTGATGGGATTTCCAACCTCTATAAGAAAATTATACAAAATAACGTGATCAAGGAATTTAGTTACTCTATACCATGTAAAGAAGGTGTTCCAATATTTTCTTGTTGGGATATTATCATATATCTCTTTCTTCCACTTGCTTCAACAGCTTTGTCCTTTCCACGGTCATCTTCAATATACAAGCCTTCTGAGCAAGGATCATCAAGGGAAGCATCTGGGTTCCCAAGTTCAACTTCAATAACAAAATGAAAAATTTTACAGGATAATTAAAAACTGACTGTACAAACAATAACCCAACCAGTTGAAGAAATCTTGACAGTAAACACATAATTTGAACAAGGACATGTTTGAAGTTTGGTTGGCATTAGACAGGAATAAGAAATCAAATTGACATCAATAAAATAATAACAAATGACACACTTACAAAGTTTATTGCAGATATTGAATGTTAGGATTTTAGCATAAATTATTTCATGTAGGCATACAATAAGCTGATTGACTTTGTCTTTGATTTTTTTTTTGATAAATAACTAATATATTTCATTAACAATCCACCGGACACCAAAGTGAGCAGCAGACCCAGAGGACATTTCAACTCCCACAAAAAAGTCTGAGGAAAGCAGAACAGAAGACAATATATATATGTATTACAAATTACATATTCTAACTGATCCCTTCCCACCCTAGCTTTTGCCAAAGAATATGCTAACTTTTAGCACTTCTAGGAACCCATTTGAATGAGATGTTCAATGTGGAGCCCGGATGGCATGCCTGTCTCATCATCAGCCTAAATTCCCAAGAAATTGGTTTTTGGGTTTTCATCCAGTATATGATTGTTTGACAGTATCCCTTCACTTCCACAACTTTCAGTCCCTGCAACCCCATCAGCTTCAAACCTTGAATCAAAGTCAACACTTCCACCTGGCAAGAGTTACCATGACCAATTGGGCCTGGAAAGCTGAAAAGTATGTTGCCACAATGGTCCTTTACAACTCCCCCTACACTTGACAACTTGGATTTCCATAACAACACCCATCAAAGTTGAATTTAAGAATTCTAGTAGGTGGTACAGTCCAGTCAGCTACCTTTGTTTTTTTCTAATCTGAAATCCAGTCACTGCTTGCCAACGGGCCGGATGGCTTTAATATCGTATTGTTTAAGTCATGCCGGGGTATTGTCAAGAAAGATATAATGGAAATGTTTAAGGATTTTTGGAAGGAGGAGATTGAGAAGAGTGCATATGCTACTTTCATTGCACTTATTCCTAAGTTGGAGGGTGCTTCCAGAGTGAGAGACTTTAGGCCAATAAGCTTAATAAATAGTCCATATAATATCATTGTGAAAGTCCTATCAAGAAGATCAAGATCTGTTTTGCATGAGGCTGTAGGACCTACTCAAATCACTTTTGAGGAAGGAAGACAAATCCTTGATGTGATGTTAATAGCAAGTGAATGTGTGGATGCAAGAATTAGGAATGGGAGAGGAAGCACACTTGCTAACTTGATGGTTGACACTGTGAAGGCATATAACCATGTTGTGTGCGGCCAAATGGAGAAGTTGGATCTTTGTTTGTGTATCTTCAACTTCATTCTCAATGTTGGTCAGTGGGGTCTCAAAAAAATTCTTTCAAGTTTCTAGAGGACAAGGAGATCCACTCTCTCCTTTGCTCTGTCTTGGTGGCAGAAATTTTGAGTAGAATGATAATAAGAGTGGATGGGGTTATTAGAAGGTTTCATAGTTGGAAGAGGAGAGCTTTCTATTTCACACTTGCAATTTGCTAACGACATCTTGATAATTCTTGGATGTTGCGGTTGATCAAGTCCTAAGGTTAAGAGCAGTCCTGGAATGCTATGAGATGGTGGCTGGTCAGAAAATAAATCTGAATAAGTGTTAATATAGTTGTCAAGGTGTCACCTAGGCACCAACCTAGGTGTCGACTAGGTGACTAGGCATCCTTGGCTGGGCACCTCGCCTAAATACCTTGTTTATTGCAACTAGGCGCCCATCTAGGCAACTAAGTGCTTGCCTAGGTGATAAGGTGCCTGCCCAGGCGACTAAAATGACAAGGTGGGCACCTTATTACAAGGTCATTCATTTTTTTTAAAGATACAAGGTCATTCATACTGTTACATCATTATGTTACTACATTCTCTTATATATTATCATTTATACTTTGTTATTAATCAGCACAAAGGATACATATTACAAATTCCCCACAAAGAGGCGCAAGATGCCGCCTCTAAACTATATCATAAAGCTTACAAATGAACCCAACAAAACTGATTCCTATGTACCCCTTGTTTGGCTAAAGTCAACCCATTTGCCGATCTTTCCCATTGAATTTGGACTGACATATTTGGTGTTAACCATCTGAACCTTCTCAAAGCCCCTCTGTAGGACCATGCTGCCACTTCTGGCTCTTTTAACCACCCAACAACCAGTTTCGAGTTGCCTTCAATGATAAGTGTTCCAATGCCATCTCCTTAGCAATCTCTGCTCCTTTGAGAACTGCTTGAACTTCCGCATTGGCTGAATCTCCCATACCTATAGGACCAAAATATAAAGCTAAGATCTGGCCCTCAGCATTTCTGAACACTCCCCCAATTCCAGACAGCTCTGGATTACCTAGGCTGCTGCCATCGAAATTTAATTTAATAACCCCTTCTTCAGGAGCTTTCCACTCCACCATAGGCTTGATTCTAACAGCAGAACTTTTGGCAATTTGCTCCCAATTCCTCTACATGCCATCAAAGGAGAAAGGATGAAAAAGGTCCAATATCTTTGCCCAACTTATGGCCCTATTTAAAATGCTTTCCCACAGACCATTCCCATCCCTCTCCTTTTCATTAAAAATTCTGGCATTCCTTTCCTCCAAAGCAGCTCTTGCACACCTCCACAAGACTCTACCTCTTTTCTTTGGCAACCTGAAAGTTGTTGGGTCAAAAAGATTACCAAACTGCCTTGGCTCTACCCACCTGCACCCAGAGAGATCAAAAAGCCTCTCCTAGAGGCCTACAACAAGAGGGCAAGAGATTAGTAAATGGAAACAACTTTCCTTATTTGATTTGCAAAGGATACACCATTTAGGGGAGATCCAAGAGATACTTCCCAACAGGGGACTCCCACTTTTGGGGGGGATAGGCTTGGATCAAGCCTCCTTGCTATAAAACGACTGAGGATTACGAGTTGAACACAAAAGAAAAAGGAGGCACAGGAAAAGAAATCAAAATCTCTCAAGTTTCTTCTAAAGCCCAACTTCCAGTTAAGACCGGAGGAAGAAGAAAAGGATGCAAACTTCTGAATTGGATCATTTTTAAAACACGAGAGGGCATACAAAGAAGGAACCAGGTCCTTGAGGGTCAAGTTACTAACCCAAATGTCCTCCCAAAACAAAACCTTGTCTCCAATACAAGCACCATACCTGATCAGGCTCAAGAAGAGAGGAAGAATACTATGAATAGCCTTCTAAGGGGAGTTCAGCGTAGCCTGCCGAGATACACCAGCATCCCAACCATTACCTACTGCCACATGAACACTTCTCACAACTTTGTGCCAAAGTCTTTCCCTCTCCAGAGGCCACCTCCACAACCATTTTCCCAACAAAGTTGTGTTTTTGTTCCTTAAATTGCCTAAACCCAAATCCCCTTGCTCCTTCCTCCTGCAAACTTGTTCCCACCTTACCACATGATCCTTCCATCCTTCCCCAGGTTCCCACAAGAAATCCCTCATAATTTTCTCTATGTCTAGAACCTCTCTTTGGGCTTTGGGGGCATTCTAAAGATCGAGAGGAAGTAAACTGGAGGACTTGATAGAGCAGCCTTTGTTAAAGTAATACGACCCCCCAAGAGAGATGTAGTTTCTCTTCAAAGCTACCAACTTCTTTGTGCACCTTTCTACAACCAGATTCCAAAATCTACCTTCCCTTGGACTATCACCTAATGGCATTCCCAAGTAGGTCGAGGGCCAGCTAGAAATAGAGCAACCTAAGGATTCTGCTACCCGGTTCATCTCCTCTTGCTCCAAATTTAGCCCCAACTCTTTGCACTCTCCCTCCTTTTCCTCTACAACTCCACTCCTCTCCAACTCCCCTCCTAAAGGAAGTTGTTTGGACCCAATTTGGTCATTACGGAAAACCCCAATAAAATTCTTATTGGTCGTGGCTCTCACATTAACCCCTCTTCTCTTAAATACTTTCTATTTATTACTGGGACCAACCCTAACAAAGCCTCCTTTTTTTTATCAATAACGCATTCATTAGCAACTTCATTAAATCAGGAAAAAGATGATTACAAAGAAGAAGACAAGCACTCTTGTCTTGAGCACTTAAGAAAAGAAAAGGAAATGGAAACAGCAGTTTACAAATTGGCCCAAAACATTGAGTCCCTTTCTACCCCTTGTTTAGCTAATCCATCAGCCAAGGAATTAGCCGATCTGTGAACCCACCTCATCTTCACTTCCATCTCCCTCACCAGCCACTTAAACCTTTTCCTCTCATTACTGTAATTCCATAGGCTACTGTGATCTTTATTCAGCCACCCTATTACCACCTCCGAGTCCCCTTCAATTATGATTTTTCTGATATTCATCTCCTTGGCTTTTTGGATCCCTTCCATAACTGCATAAATCTCAGTTCTAAGGGAGTTCCTCACTCCAATTGGGCCTGAGTATAATGCAGAAATGACCCCATTCTCATCCCTGAAAACACCTCCAACCCTGACTGTCCAGGGTTCCCTCTACTACTGCCATCAAAATTCGATTTTAGGAATCCAGCAAGTGGGGGGGTCCAAGGCACACTCATTGCTGATTTGCTCTGTGAACAGTATGCAATTTCTCCCCACTTCCTCAGCATGTCATCTACTGTGTAATCTGTAAATAGAACTAAGGATTTCAGCCACTGTACGGCCCTAATATGAATTGTGGCCCTCAGTTCATCAGCCCCCCTCTCGACTTCTGAAAAGATCCTAGAGTTTCGTTCTTCCCATAGTGACCAACATACTGCAGCCCTCAGTCCCCTCCACATAATCTTTCCTCTTATCACTCTCCACCTGAAATAAGAAGGGGAAAATAGACTTTGCATGTTTGATGGGGAATTCCAGCTACATCCAAAGAGAGAAAAGGCCCACTCCCAAACAGACTTTGCATATTGGCAAGATACCAGTAAGTGGAAACCAGTTTCCCCCTCCGCTTTGCAGAGAACACACCAATGAGGAGACAAGCAAGTATTGGGTCTCT